TATGTCTTGAAACAAAAAATGAAAAATATAAAATGATTTAGTTAAAATATCTAGATCTATCTGATATTTCCGTTCCATCATCGAGACATAGTAAACTTAATTACATTATATAAACTGAATATATTTTATTATCCAAAAAAAAGTTTTGCCATTTTGTTTTTTCTTCTTCTTCTTCTTCTTTTCTTCGTCTCACTTATTTCAACAATTCAACCTACCGAATATAGCACTTTAACTAATCCATTGAGGTAGAAAAACAATATCATATTTTTCTTTTTTTATGAATTATTTTTTTAAAATAAATCTTCTAAAATGAGCAATTTTTTGATAGATTAGGAGTTTTAAACCATTTGTTAAGTTCATTATATTCATTGAAATAGTTCAACCTTTTCAACATACTAAAACAAAGTACAAAAAAGGTTATAAATCTAAATTAACGGAAGAACAATATTTCCAATAGTCACTCATTTTCATGTTCTCTCATTATGCATGTAATATTCATGAATATTTTGAAGGTTAAATTCGAAATTATGATGCGCGAATATAGCATAATTTAAAATTGCGGATATACGGTGGCGTATAATAAAATATTTTATTCAATTTAATTTTTATCTTGTTCACATAATGTCATCTTTGAATAAAGACATTATAAATTATTGCTTATAAACAATTTTTTATTTTAACTTTTTTTTTTATACTGAATAAAAGAAGAAAAAAAGTTAGAATATCATTGTATTACTTTTTCTTTTTTAAACATATAGTGCACAGTGTCAATATGTTTTCTGAAGATTGACTATCAATGTCCATAGTTGTTTTCTATTCTATATGTAAGAGAAAAGAAGAAGAAGAAGAAAAAAAGAAAAACGAAGAAATTGTGCCATTATAAAAACAATATAGTCGATTGACCTGATGAAGTAGCGAGCAGAAATACGATGCCAAGACTATTTTTTTAACACTATTACATTAACGGAGAAGAAAAAATAATAAAATGAAATAATTTGTACAAACATCATTGTCAATTTTAATTTGTCGGAAGTTACACGGGTAACATTGTTGATTAAAATAGTATGTATAATACATTTGTTTAGTTTTCGACAGTAGTGTGACAAAGTTAAAAAATTATTTATCAAATAGAAAAAAAGATATTGTAGAACACGATGAATAGGTTCAATTAAAAATCCGTTTTCTAATTTAGTTTTCGTTTCTTTTCTTCCCTAGAGGATAATACACAATTTTTGACTTATTGTATTTTATTATTCACTCATAATTCTCACTTTTCTTCTATTTCGTGCTATTATGTCACTAAACGGAATACATTTTGATTGTTTGATTCTATACATGATAACTAAAATATGTATCATACAAAATGAACTCATACTTTTTGTATGTGTATTTGACACTTGACTTCCGAGTAAACAAAATCTTGTCAATAATGATACTACAATTCGTGAAATTACAATTGAGATGAACATACTGACTGTAAAATTAGAATATAAAAAAGAAAAAAAGAAAAAACATTTTTTTTCTTCTCATAGAGAGTATCTAAAAAGAAATAAAAAAAAAAAATCTCATTTCCGTTTTCATAAGTAAATTAGATAGATCTATTGACATTCTTTCTGGGAATGGATTCCATATTAGAAAGAAGAGTGAACCATTTGTCCATTTTACACACTTCATTTCGGGTTCATTGTCAAGTTTTAGAAAATATGTTGAATTGAAGCTCAATCTTTTCTTTTGAGCCTATAAAGTTGTTTCTATATCCCATATCCAAGAACATTTATTAATTTGCTGTCGTTCAGTGTATACTTATTTATTTCCCATGAGAGATAATTGAACTTCTTGTCTAGTAAAAAGGTCATTACTAGAATATACATCTTAACAAACATGAATGAATGATAGAAACTAAAACAATAATTTCGGTAACATGGCGTTAAAACAGAATAAAGAATGACACAACTCAAAGATGTTCAAATGATTATAGTCGTTTAACTCTGTAATAGAGAGTTTATGATGATGATAATGATGATGATGATGAGAAAATCGGATAGATTAATAGAATTTATCTACACCGAACAAGTTTCGATTTCTCTCATTTTTCTCTTTTCCGACTATATAAACGTAGAATAGACAAAAAAATATATATATTCTAAAATGGATTCACTTGAACACATATAGAATATTTATCTCTATTCATCGTATATAGTGAGTGACGTTATTTTTTTTTCTATTCGAAAAAAACTATTAAATTCGAATACCATATGTAATAGTGGACGTGTAGAAATTTGAGAAATCAATTAACATATTTAGTAAAAAAACAAAACAATTCGAATGAGATTCGCTTAAATATTGAAAGAGTTTAATTTTTTTGTTTTTTATTTTCTATAAAGCAACTGTTATGGACTATGAATTTTGTTATTGTCAAATACTATTCAAAATAGAGTTATCAAATAGTTAAAAGAATGAAAAAATCTCTAGAATTCTTTGTTGTTGATTATCCTATCACCTGCTTTCTCTTTTGTATTCTATATAAATATCTTTCAAGTTTCTAAAGCATAGAAAAACATCATTTAACTCAGTATGCTCAGTATACTATTATTATTATTATTATTATTCTATCGTTGTCAGCATAACAGTTTTTTTGATTGATCATATCCTATCGTTCATTGACATCTGCTATTATTAACATAAATGACTTGTAAGTAAGTTTATTTGTTTATTTAGAATATCCGATGAAAATAATAAATATTGACAATATATACATATATTCATTTTTCATATTATCTCACTTACTATATTGTACCCATCTAATCTAAAATTATTTTAAATATAAAGTTAATTAGTTTTATAAGATTATAGTTTAGTGGAATAAAAATGACTAAGAAAATGATTTGAAATCGAATCTTATACAAATGAATATCTTTAATTGTTCATTATTTTAATAGTATAAAATAATCTATAGTTGTTAATTTTTTTACTAATTTCAATAGTTAATTTTTCTCTATAATGTGTTGTGTGACACTAAAGTGTTTACTTTATTTTTACTTATTTCATCCATATTCGAGTATAGTATGAGGTGTTCAAATAAACTATACACTCTTTTACTTATTTCTAACAATAACATTGTTAGAAATGAAACACTATAGAACTTTTTGAGACATGACTCCTCAAGGCAATTTAATTTGTAAATAATGTTTAGGTGGAATAGTTTTAATGTATTTTATTGATAGACGAATAGACTAGACACGGTGATTGTATTATAAAAATGGTCTTTTAGTTAATGCAATGGCCAATGTTTTAGTTCAAAAACGATATTGAACAAGTTAGTTGTATAAACCTTAAAAAGACAAAGAAGAAGAAGAAGAAAAAAAAATGGATTAAATATAAATTTTTTATTTGATAATAAAATTCAATCTATTGTTTTCGTTCATTAGATTACGTGATAACCTAAACACACACACACAAAGCAATGGCGGCACTTCTTTTTTTGTTGTTGTTCATCTCATATATATATACAGAGAGGTAAATTGATTGGGGCTTTAATGATTAAAATATGTGTGTATTGAAAATATGCATTAGAGAAGATGTAGGTCAGATTTAGCCAAAGTTGATAACATTATATGACTACTACTAGATGAACTATATAATAAGACATGGCGTAGAGTTGATTAGAAAAAAAAAGCTTTCTTCTTTTTATTTTTTTCTTCTTTTTTATTGAAAAAACTTTATTGAACCGATTAAATGAGTCTATATCACGCATATTTTTCAAACATTCTTTTCGTCATCACTATGGATTGATTACAACAATATGTGTCTGTATATGTGTATGTTGAAGAAGAAAGAAGACGAGTTTTGACATGCTTGTCTTATTATTATTATTATTATTATTATAAACAGGAAACAAAATGAACGTTAAAGAGTAGTAGTAGTAGTAGTAGTAGTAGTAGTAATAGTACACTGACTGACCATGGGTTAATAAGAATGGTACCACTACTAGACACTTGATGCCTAAGGCTTAGTTTTTAGACTATTCAATTAATAATGATCTTGTTTGTTAATTGTCACGATACAGTTAACATAAAATATCATTTCAAGGGATAAAATACTTGACTTTATAATGTGTTTTTTTTTAATAATAATAATGTTTCTCAATTTTTTTGTCGAACTAGAGCGTAAGTAGAAATGTTTCATTTATCTCTTTTAAAAACTATATGGAATTTATAGATGTTAATTTATTTTACATAAAAACGATATTCTTTTTTCTTCTCTTCTCTTCTACTGTTGGCTATAATATAAAAAGTATAAATCAAAAATAATGTGTAATTGCTTTGCCTATTGTTCTTGTTTTTTTTTCTCACACAATGATCGGACATAAGAAATAAAAAATGATGATATAGTTCATATTCTATTCTTGTATAGTAATAATAATAATAATAATAATAATATATTATTTGTTTCTGTTTTAATATGATCGTTTTAACAAGTTCTCGACCATTTCCGGACATGTAACAGAAATATATTTCCGACAATTGATATGATGTCTAGTTGATATATGTAGACAATTATATATATTTTTGATAAAGATACATACTTTTAACGAGTGGACAACACGTGTTTTGGTTTTATTTGAAATATATGTAGACATTTCAATCAAGTATGGTGTCAATTAGCCGATTCAAACCAATAACAAAACAAAAAAAAGTAGACGCTATATTTCAAAAATAATGATAATGAGAAAATGGAAAATATAATTTATTAATCTTTATTTTATACTTAAATTAGTAAGAATAATATTTCATTTCTATATTTCATTTCTAGATAAATCAATAATGTTGAATCATTTAACAAGAATGAAAACAAATGTATTTTAATCGTATTATTTTAAATTCTCTCGCTTAATCGATGTTCATCAATTTATGTAAACATCAACAACGGACACTTTTATTTCGATTATTTAAACAAAATTTCGTTCAACATTGGTTCTAAAACACCATGTCGTACGAAAAATGGGTTATTCTGTTTATTATGTTAACGCAATTAACAATGATATACATGAACAATTGATATTTAAAACGTTAGCACGTATATCGAATTCATTATTCATTGTAATCATTACTTTATTCATGATAATGTGTATTAATATTGTTCATGCCGATTCCTATATTGTTACGACAACGGAAAAATTACCAGTATCATCAATAGTAGCCAAATTACGAGATATATTTCATAGTGAATCAATGACACAAAATAATAATATTGATTTTTCAATGGCTAAACGAGATGAATATCCTTATATGCATTTTATTATAAATCATTCTGGACGTGGAATATTGACAATACAAAAACCAATTGATAGAGATGAATTATGTCGAATGAGAAAATGTCGATGTGAACAATGTGATTTACACCTAGAAATTATACTTAATCCACGTTTCAATATTGAATTACTTACCATACGTGTATTAGAGTAAGTATAATGACTATGATGACGAGTATCATTCATATTTCTATCTTTTTTTCTTCTCTTCATTTAATCATAGTATCAACGATCATATTCCACAATTTGCCTATGAAAATTTTAGCTTGAGTATTGTTGAAAATGCTAAAATTGGTTCAATATTAAAATTAGAACCAGCTGTTGATCGAGATTATGGACAAAATTCAATTATAGGTAAATTAATGTATAATTGACGTTTTTTACAAATTTGTAGATGAATTTGAATGAAATTTTTCTTGTAACTTCTTCATAAGTATCATCTAATAACTAATATCTCTGCGCACATCCGGCTAGTCACTGAGATAAGAACCGATCTTTTCCGTAGATTCCTGTGAAGTTCAGTAGAAGGGGTGTGAAAATTTTGACATAGCACCTACAGTAAGGGATTACTTTCAGTTTGAAATTTACGTCAGTCGTTTATCAGATCCTTAAATTTATTATAGTAGCCATCAATCTCTAAAATTTAGACTAAGAATAGACTTCTTTTTGCAGAATCTATTGATTATTCTGAATGAACAAGTCGGTTGTAAAGTTATACTTAAATTTCTCACAAGTTTCGATCTACTAAAATTGATGGAGGGAATAAGTTTCAATAAGCTAGGTGCCAATGCTGGACGAGCAAGGTTAAGAACAATGTGATTTCACGTTTGTGCCAATGAAAGATGCTTTTGTACTCGAAATTAATGGGTGCGGCATAAATAATGATACCGCCAGTATTTTGTCAATATCTCGGTGAGTTTTCATCGTGGAGACTTGAGCTTCATCTCAAAAGATTCTCCATTCAATTTTCTTCAACACCCTAAGAAAAGAGCACGCAGAATACGTAACTGTAAATTCATAGGCTGTCAACACTGCAATGTCCCAAACGGGAGCACTTTCCAACCAATATTACGTTTTGTTTTTACTTTTTCGCCGCACTTTCGTCGCATAAAGAAAGACTCAATATGCCATTTTGTAGCTCTTGCAATGGTCTATCAGTTGAGAAACAACTAATAAGTTTTCCATTACAAGCCTTTGTGATCGAGACCTTTTCCCTTTTATTTCATATTCGGTTTTCTACGCCCTGTTAATGGGGCTTATTGTAAATTTTGTACAGTTAGCACAAAGTGTAACGTTTTACTGCCAATTTTGTTTTGCAAATGTGCAGAAAAATGTTTTCTCTATTATCTCTAACCAACCCAATTGGCGTGTAAGTCTTCTTTTGGCACGTGAGATGAAAATTCGGCCTGGTTCCAAGAAAATCGTTTTTCAAGGAAATCTGCCACAAGAAACTCATTGTGTTGTCTAAGAGAGTCGTTCTGAGTACTGTGTGAAAGAGCACGTCCGAAAACATGGAAAAATTCACATAAAAGTGCGTTTGCGTCTGATTAGACAGAATTATAGACATAATTAATCTTCTGAAAATGTGCGCTGGAAGATGCTCCCATTTGGGACGTTGCAGTGTTGACAACCTATGAATATATGGTTACGTATTCTGCGTGCTCTTTTCTTAGGGTTTTGAAGAAAATTGAATGGAGAATCTCTTGAGATGAAGCTCAAGTCTCCACGATGAAAACTCACCGAGATATTGACGAAACACTGACGGTTATTATTTATGCCTCACCCGTTATTTGTACATTTCAATTGCAACGAAAACTATTTTTTATACTTCAGTCACGATCTTTTTCGACAAAAACTGTTTTACATCTCCATAACTAGCCCCACTTGAGCAGAAATATTTGATATCAGTTCTTAGGTGATGTACATAAAAAACTTACAAGAAAAATTTTACTCACATTCATTTATAAAATAGTTCAAATCTGTTTCGCTTTCACATGTTGTAAAAAGAATGTTAACAAAATATAATAACACGTAACAAATTTTTTATTTCTAGCGTATCACTTATTACCATCGTCGGGTTTACCGTTTATTGTTCAATATGATATTAATCGTGGAGATTTGTCATTAATTGTTCATGAACAATTAGATCGTGAAAAAAACGCATCCTATTCGTTTTTACTTGTAGCTTCTGATGGTAGTAATCGGACAGGATTCGTTCGTGTATTTGTAGCAATTCAAGACGTTAATGATCATTCACCAATATTTGATAAAACTCATTATTCTGTTAATATTACTGAAAATTCGCATATTGGTACTACTCTCATTCAAGTTCATGCTACCGATCTTGATGAAGGACGCAATGCTCAGATAACATATCAATTATTATCATCGAATCATGATGAAACATCAGCTTGTTTTGATTTAGATGAAAATACTGGACATATTCGATTAACTTGTCAACTTGATTATGAATATCGTCAACGATATAATTTAGAAATTGAAGCAAAAGATGATGGAGAAGGATCAAAGACCGGTTATTGTACATTGCAAGTAAATGTTGTCAATGTTAACGATAATCAACCTCAATTTCAGTTGTATCCTAGTCAATTAGAATTCATACCATATTCATCTAGTCATAACAGAACAAATATTTATACATTAATTGATCAAGAACATGTTATTTTGTATTTAAGTGAAACATTTGAACCGAACACTGTTTTATTTTCATTTTTAATCACCGATAGTGATTTGGGTGATAATGGACAAATAATAATATGGACATTGATGAATAATAACAGTAATCAACAATTACCATTCGATATTTTTCGTGTAACAGACAATGCTGGTGATCTACGTTTAATCAATTCACTTGATCGTGAATTAACTGAACAGTATAAATTTGGTATTATGGCATCAGACAATGGAAATTCTCGTCTTACAACAGTACTAGATATCCACGTTCTTGTTACAGATGTTAACGATGAAACGCCACAATTTCGTCAACAAAATATGACAGCAACAATAAATGAACATGTAAGTATGAGTGATAAGAATGGTTACGAGGTTTATCATGTTCAAGCGTATGATCTGGATAAAGGATTAAATGGACAAATTGAATATCGAATTATTAGTACCGATGATGATATCAAACGTTCATTTACAATCGATCGACAAACAGGAATTATTCGAGCATTAACGTTGTTTGACAGAGAAAAAAGAGATAAATATGTGGTAGAAGTGGAAGCGAGAGATAAAGGTAAACTAGAATATCTTATTAAATAGAATACACTGCGTGAATAAACATTATAACGTAAATATCAAACATTGATGAATTCTTTGTGTTCTAGGAAATTTATCATTGGCATCGCGTGCGAACATTCTCTTTCTTATTACAGATCAAAACGATCATGCACCAGTGTGTTATGATCTTTCTAATAATCATATCATCGGTCAATCAAAAATTGAATGGTCAGTTAAAGAGAATAGCGCTTATGGAACGATTGTCGGACGTATGCAATGTCATGATATTGATATGAGTCAAAATGGTTTACTTGGCTATAACATTCATTTTAATGATAGTGATACAATGACAATTCCATTTAAGATTAAAGCTCAGAATATCACAAGAACATCATTCGAATCGAACGAGGTAAATTGAGAACTTTAACAAAATTATAATTCTTATTTAATACTTTTTCATTTTTAAGGTGTTACTAGTAAGCATTACCGTTAATGGTATTGTCGATCGAGAATTAAAATCGACATATAACATTTTCGTTCAAATATTTGATAATGGAAATCCGAGACATTTCTCATTTGTTCAAATAGTAGTGACGATTATTGACGTCAACGATAATTGTGCTGAACTTGATTCATCATCAAAATCTTTAATAATGATCAATCGAGATCTAACGCCAATATTTATTCGTCAATTACATGCAACAGATAATGATATTCAAGCAAATGGAAATATAACATTTGATTTAATAAATACAAATCCAAATAACAATTCGTATTATGTTAAATTATATTCAAACGGTTCACTTGTTATTCAATCATTATCAATGGATGATGGTTATATAACTGTAAATATTCAAATACGGGACTATGGCGAACCAATACCGTGTATCGTTTCAGAAACTATCATGTTGTATATTGGTTCAAATCGTACTGATTGGACATCATCTAAACTGACACAACATATTCTATTACGAACAAATGAAACATACGGAAAACGAAACAGTAATTCACGTTCAGCTAATTACAATTCATTACTAACTACTGAAGAAACATTTTTTAGATCAATTAAATATTCTACATCAACAAAAAATCGATACATAATTATACTGAGTCTCTCCATATTCATATTTGTCCTTGTGTTTGCCACGTTATTTTGTATGATTGATCGAATTTGTAAGAATAAGACGCGAAAATTGAAATCCTCACAAAATGGTCATTTACTATCAACACATAAGCCCATTAATGGAATAATCAAAAAACAAGAAGAAAAAAATGATAAACAAATTCATAGTCCAACAATCAATTATAATTTAAGCATGACCAAATCCCCATCTAGAAAACGTCTAGCAAACGGTATTGGTTATAATAGTTTTCCACCATCTCCAGCTAATTACATTCGTTTAAATACAAATCGTACTACATCTCGATTAACTCATTCATCTCGTTCAAATTCAATAATGTCGGGTATTGATTCAACAATAGTCTACACACGTGGATATTCTTATACACCAATTGAAACAGACGATTTTTATCCACAGAATTTTAACGACAGTGAGGGAATTGAATTAAGAATGACAACTGTTTAATTGGTATGCACGACAAGGGTAACTTAAGAATACTTTTCGAATTAACATTTTTTTCGCTGATTACTATAAGTTTTTGCAGTATAATCCAGACAGAAGATCACGTATGTATGAACCGTCAAGTGTTGTTCGATTTAGTAATTTTTTATTTCTCTTTGGTATGTAACACAATGTAGCAACAATATTTCTTTATATTGCTAATGATTGTATATACTTTTTTGTGCCAATTAAGAGCATCATAACTTATGTGATAGGAAATTTCTTGTTTTGTTTCTGTTTTCTTTTATTATGATTCATAATCCTAATCAAATTTACAGTATGTAGTATTGTTTTTGAAAATGATGTATTTCTGTGAAACAAATACCATCGGATAATACGATTTTTTACTATTTTATTTCACTAGCTCCACTCTTATATTAAACATATCTATAGTCCATGTATAGAGCTGCACAAAATGCCAAGTTTAAAGTTATAATCGACGTCCAAACAAATAGATTTTTGCTTTCTTGTTCATCTTTTTCAATGTCAGATCAATAGCAAATTAAGGATGCTTTAGATGAAACATGAAAAGCGAATCACCTGATAGAAAAAAAAAGTCCTCTAAGACTCGTATGGATAAGTTGCTTGCAGAGCTCTTCTGGAGAAAAAGACTTCAGCAAGGAGAGGAAGTAGTTTTTTCTGCTCTCTTTGAATCCGACACTGCGTCGAATACATTCGATTACTACTCTATTATTACTAAATCTCATTGGAGGATTTATAGCTGTGTCTGTCAATACTTCAACCATAGGATGCTCTTACTGGTGTAACATTCATATGTATTCTAATTTGTATTAACCCATTTTGAATTTGATAAACTATTCTTAGCATTTATTCCTTTATTTGTACACCGTAAAACAAAGGGTTTGTGTACAAAATCTAAAAGGGTATAGAGAAGTGCAACCATTTCTAAATCCCTTTAGGTTTCATAGAAGAAAAGGTACGGTATGAAACCGTTGAAGTGCATAAATTCTATCAGTTTTTTTTCTCAGCAAGTGGGCCATTTCAGCAGCCACCACATTTATTGTACTGTTTATCGCTCAAATCATCACGAACTTAAGTGGATTTTTTTGTTATTACTGCTAATTTATGGTCGTATTTCTATCCTCATTGTTAATGCCTAATTGATTAAAACAGACATCTATTTCTTGATGAGAATTAATTATTTTTTTATTCAAATATTGATTATTGCATCGAATTAACATTAAGCACACATTAAACAAATACTTAGCATGATGCTCTCATAATACCAAACCATGGCAAAGCATTTGTTCACATATATAAATAGACTGTGTAAATCAGCTGATATTTATCAATTTTTTTTTGCATCCTTGACAGAGTTTCCTGGGTAGGTAAGGCTATACTGGGATACCACCTCTCATGTATAGAATGCGTAGTGCCGTTGTCCTTACTATTAGGATCATCCGCCTTTATGACGACATTTGCTTCACCAAAGGGTCTATACATCCCTTCTCGTGCACTCATCCGCCCAAAAATGGCCGTTGGTCAATTATGTCTTCACGAGTTTTTCCAGTTAACCGTCGCCAAAATTTCGACGTTCACGTACCCTACTCTACTCCCATTGTGCTTGAGTGGGAGTAGGCTCAGTTTAATGTCATGAGGCTTTTAGAATCACGTTGAGAATCAGACGACCATGTGACCAATGCGATTCTTTACAGGAGAGTGAACCAACGGCCTATATCAACAACTATTCGGACAAGACAACTAAAATTCACCGGGCACTGCCTTCGCATGAACACTGATGAACCGGCAAACATCTACATCCTTTGTGAATCCAGCAACGCAATCTTAAATGGAGCAAGGCAATAGCGAACGACATATACTTATCAAATATCACAACATCTGATCCAGGATAAAAAGGTTCTACTAACTGCCAATGAAATAGCCAAGTATGCAAAGGATAAACCTGGTTGGAACTTTCAAATTGCCGCGTTCAACAAGCCCGGCCGATGATGATGATGATTTATCATATTTCTCTTATGGTACTTCAGATAATTGTATCTAGATTTCTTAGGAACTTTTTCGGTAAATTATTTAATGAAGCAGTATGCATTAGATAAATTAATGTTGGCCATAAATCTTGATTAAAAACGTTTAATTTTCTATCAGTTTTTAAAAATATTTTAATTAGCTTCTCAAAATATCAGACTGTCGGATGCTTTACAAACATCGACATAAACTACAACTCAATTTTTTATCTATTTCTGTCATTGTTAACCAATCATCAACCAAATTAGTGTTTATAGAGAAAGAGACAAAATAAATTAATTTCTCTCCACTAGATATATAGAGTAGTTTGTTCAAGTAAAACGTGCCTGTCCACCCTTCCAACAGATCTGCATAAATTTTGACTGGTATACTTAGTCCGTTTCTGTTTCTTTTTATTTATTTAAATAAATAGCGATTCACCTTATCTAATAGGTCAGCAATGCGAACTATTGTTATGTTGGTCATAGAAATCTGTTTAATAAGAGAGAAAGACCTTTCTATTGAATTGAAATCAGTTATTTGTAACACTACACTGTACTTATTCAGGAGTAGAAATTTTAGAATTGATAAAGTACAGCAACTACTTTTAGATTCATATTTATTTAATAAAAATTTTAATTTTAATTTTTATTAAATAAATATGAATCTAAAAGCAGCTGCGATTACTATTTTATTAATTCAGTTATTTGTAGCACGCGAAGCCATATAAGTTTTGTTTATCTTCTTACATAAATGAATTTTTAAAATGTTTACAAACTCTTCCATGTTCTGAGATTTTTCTGGAATTATTTTTACAACACACGAGTTAGACTTTTCTCTATCGATCCATATAAAAATCTTTTCAAGGAACTTCAAGAACGAACTATCTCTAAGAGATTTGTCGATTTACTTTTTTCAAATTGTCCCAGATGAAGCAATTGGACAATTACGCGTAACTTGGACATGAGAAGTTAAATGCAATTATCTTAGTGACGATTAGTGATAATTATTTTTATACCCTAATACCGAACCCTGTTATTTTATAAAAAATATTCAAAATGCTTTTAAGAATAACCCTGATACCATTATTGATTTACAAGCCATTCTCAAAAACGTTTTGTACTTGTAAATCCTTCTTTTTAGCGTCTACAGCATAAGGTGAGCTCTTGTTATGATTTTTTAATAAGATATCAATTATTCCTCCTAAGTACGAAAAAACATCATTGCAACTAGCTTGAAGATACATTTATCTTAATTGAATTCACCTTCAAATGGGTGCAGCTAGATGCTGTTAATTAATTGGGCCACGAGTTATTTGATAAGTCGGTCGATGCAGCAACCGCTTTAGCTAGAACACACTTTCAATTAACATGCAGCTAGATACACGCAGACATGTGCGTCGATAAAAAATGTTCGGCGGCGACGTTTTAATTTTGCCTGATCGATGGCGACGGCGCCTAATTCCATAATTTTTTTCGCCTTAGGTGGCGGCAGCGCAAACTTTTCCACTCGCCAGCGTGAAAGTGAAGAATCTCGAAATCGAGGGCTAAATTAATTTTTTTCACTGAGCAACTATTTTTTCGAAAAAATTATCTCAAAAGTTACTTGCCGCTGTGTTTTTCAAGTACTGAATGCAAAATTTTCATCATATGAGAAAAGAAAATAGACATTCTGTCAATGGAAGAGAAAGTTAAAAAATGCTCCCTTAGCCTTGTATAAGTATGGAATAATTGTTACCTTAGCGAATGACTTGAGCCAAACACGTGCGCAAGTACTTGGGTTAAGTATTGAGGACAGTACTTGTGGACCTTTTCAAGTAAATTTACTTCAAAAGCTTCAGTCAAATACTTATTCCATTTATTTCCATTTTGTATTTTGTACGTATTCTGCAGCCATACTCTACTTTTGTATAGCAAACACATACACGGCTACTAAGTTTGTTCAACTCAGTAGAAATATATAAGTTTATTTTATAAGTGTTGATTGATATTGTGGTATTCATTGTTGTATTACAAGTGGTCAATGCAAAAGAAAAGGGTTACTGACTTGTCCAAGTACTTGGCTAAAGCAAGTCGAATAACGACATTTGACAAGTGCTTAACTTGTCATGTACTTCCCAAGTACTCATCAAGTAATCAAGTACGTGTACCAAGTACATTCACTAGGGTATGAACTGAATTTTATCTCCTTTATCGCATCCCAATCCTACACACCTTACGTTGAATATCAATCCTATTGTGAAGGGCACATTCATAGAAGACGCTGATGCGGCTAGACTGTTGCAACTTTCACAGTTGTTTTATTTGTCATGATCTGCCAAGCAATCTGTCGTAGTTTACATGCAATAAAATTTGAACTAGGTTCGGACCTGCATCGCTTAGTCAACGTTCAATCTTTTATTAATCAGCGACGATTGAGGAAGCAACGGAAAAAATGAATATGGCACTCCGCAAACACATGCACTCGACGCATTTTCTTGATTCTATCAAACATCAGTTATTGTAGCTGGTGACGGCGGTGCTTAACCTCAAAAATTTCTTCTGCCTTCGGCGGCGGCGCACATCTTTGTATACATGTACCTTTCAACTGACAGCAGGTGCTGCAGCTATGTCTGAAACTATGTTTTCTCGCTTAATTTTACTTGAGCTCTATTATGTAGTATGTGGGATTTCCTAATTTATCGATCGAAAAAACTACTAATCAAAAACCACTATAAAGATTACTGATTCCGTTTTAGGATTTATAGGAAAACACTTACCACTTTCAAAAAGGATATGAATAAAATCTAAAACGATTCCGAAAAAATGGCAGAATTGATCCTCTTTGCAAAAATTGGTGAAGAAAATACAGAAGTGATCCTGCCTAATTTGTTCTACAGTTTTCATCCCGGAAAAGAAGTTATTTTTTTATTTCTTCTGCAGAATTGATCCCGGTTGTTTGCTTATATTGACGTCTGACCTATGTAGATAATTAGAATCACACGTGTAAGATTTGAATGTGTTTATTTCTACAGACTAATAGTTATTATTTTCACTCTTTTCTAAACTGAACTAAACTGTGTCTATCGTACAATGGCACGTAGAAATTGACAAGAATATTTTAAATATTCTCGTTTAAAGGTTGAATTGTGGACGCCGTCTTCCGCTGTGGTTTTTCACATGTAAAAATACCTTGAAAGAATACGCTTGTATTCATGCTAACATTCTGATGATGATGTACAGGTGGAGAACCATACCAGTTTAATTAGAAGAAGAAAAAGTCCAGGTAGACCAAAAAAAAGTGAATTTAACACTGTCAAAAGACTGAACTGCTCAGATGTTTATCGACACATACGGTTCATCCAATGATGTATGATTTCTTGCTATTCATTCAATGATGTATAATTTCTGGTTCCGGAAAGTTTCCAGAATCAGATTTCTATCCGAAGAACATCATCAGCTCGACATCTTATTTTGAAGAAGGGTTTACTTAATTAATTCGCATATTTTTATAGGTAATTAATGACGTGTTTTGTTCTGAATAATGTACTTTTTCAAGTCATCTTTTTTTACGTAATAAAAGACCTTCGTCAATCTTGAGAATACCTACATTGGACACTGAAAGTAGACTCTACGGGATATTAAAACATATGTAAATTCCAAAAACGTAGTTTCAAAGAAAATTTGCAATTTTTGTATAAAGATGCAGGACCCTTTAAATAAAGATCGCTATAGTGACCAAAACAAACTTCAGTAACTTATTTATCGAAATATGAGAAATAGCATATCACAACCAATAATTTATTATTACGATGGATACAGGACGACCTCGCAAAGATAATAATTTGAGTTTTTTACATGATATTTTTTTTTTTTCTTTTACATGATATATTTTCTCTCTGCGTATTTGTTATTATTTCATTCATATTCACAGGAAGTTGATTAGAGCAATGAATTTTTGGGAACAATTTTACATTAGTAGCAAAACTAATTAATAAAATTGTTTATAATTTTTTCTTTATGATTAAAAAATTGAAGTGTAGTATTTCGATGTTAATGACATTACAAATAATGCAACGAAGATGAACAAAAAAGAGACGACAAACTTACTTTCATTTTTTCTCATCTTTCATTCCAATATTTCCGTCTTTCCGTTCCACTATTTAATAATATGTACAAGTAGTATATTAATGTTTTTATTCATTTTTACATTTTCTTAATTCAATTGAACTTATTTTGCTCTCAATTTGTTTGAAGATATCATCGACATCGAAATGTCATACTTGAATTTTTCAGTCATAAAGAAAGATATTTTATAAATAAATAAATTAATTATGATTTTTATCATATGTAATCAGGCAGACAGCTAAGAATCTCACCTATCTTTCTGTATCATACCGATTTTCTTTGGTTAAGACTGACTTAACTGTGACTAAAATATTTGAAAACTTCACGCACTTATCATTACTATTATTATTAGTCATAAGATAGAAAAGAAAATGAGAGCATACTTCTGAATGTTTTTTATTGAAAGTTCAATTATGTTACAGGCAATAGAATCTAATAAGAACAATAAGTTTCTATTTTTTTTGTTGCTGATCAAACGGACCTCGTGTCTCAACATTCAACACAAATCGAAAAAGAACTTATCAATACTGGAAGTTTTTGATGATGCATTTTATTTAGCATATCATTACAACTAAGTTTTTTTTGTTGATTTCAAAATTTTTTTCCTTATAACTAAATCAATAGTGTAGGAGCATTTTTTTCGTTCTAAACAAACGGATAAAACATTTGTTTCTCTAATTTTTATATTTTGTTATTTTCATGTGTCATTGAATTTAATAGAAAAAAATTTCTCCCATTATACTTTAGTATTTTAACGACAGTTGAAAAAGAATGAATTTTATTGTATAAATACAAAAATGTTGTTACAACATGTGATTTTAAAAAGTGAAATAACAACGGTGACATTGCGCAAACATGACATATCATGAACAATTTAAGTGTTTGAACGAGTGAGCTGACGTTAGAAATTTAAATGAGTAAAACAAATGGGTTTATTCAGCTCAAAATTGTGTTCACCTTACGATGATGTAGCAGCAAGAGTGTTAATTCTTGGTCTCGATTCGGCAGGTTTGCATATCTTTAATTGAAATAAAATCGATATTGAAGTATCAAATATTTCTTGTTTTTAAAGGAAAATCAACATTACTCTATCGTTTAAGTAATTTGACTGAGCTACAGTTTAGTTCCGGTGCGAATTTTATTTATCATATTCCTAGTCAACCCACAGTGGTTTATCAAGTTGAAACTATTTATCCGAGACTGTCACCAATTCCCTTGAATTTATGGGATCTTGGTGGACAAGAAAAAGTTCGAGCATGCCAATTGTTCATCTAGGACATCCATTCATATAGGAGAGACTAGAAATCTAAGTGACGGTCCAGCTATAATGAGTAATTTGTTTATATCTCCGTTGGCGTTTATCCCTAACACTTTCTCTTCTTATTTGAAGAACCGTTGTGAAATTCTCAACAGAAAACGTACTGAATCTTTTATTACAAAATATAAAAGTGAAAGGTTATATGAGAAATAGTGATGAGACAACTTTCTAAAGTTCTTAGCTGAATGAAATTTTATTTCATGTGAGAACCCAGGAATCAGTTGCATCAGACAACATCCTCGGATAGTGTCACGTGTGCTCTTTCAATAAAGTTCTTCTAAGTCTAATTGGATAGCACAAAGAGCCATTTTAGTAACATCCTGTGAAAAACAACGCACTTTTGATCTTTTTTACTCACGATATTAGAACATAGAAAGCTCTGAAGTTTTTTGCAATTCGTGGACGATAGACACGTTGTTTCTCTTAAAAATGAAAACAGCTAAAATTGAATATGTTTACGGAGATATAAATAAACTACAAAATTAATCATCATAGCTGGACTACCCGTTATTCTACTTAATCGTCGTTTGTTAATAACCTCTTTGTGGAAATATTATGTGACCGGTATTGAAGGATTGATATTTGTTATCGATAGTACCGATCATAGTCGAATTCATGAAGTGCAACAGGAATTATTGAGAGTAATGGATTTAATTGATGATAAAACAACACCGATTGTAATCGCTGCGAATAAGCAAGATCTTGAACGTAAGTATGCCTACATTTCTATATTAGTTTGCTCACAAAAACGTAGAGATGAATTAGATTAATCTTACTCCGATATGTTTAAAAGAAATTACGCATATATTTTATAATTGGAAATAACTTTTGTTCTGTTTTTTTGTGTATTTGTAGATGCTTTAGATGTTCAAGAACTTAAATTAGCTCTTTGTTTGCCAGAATTAAAAGTCAACGTAGAGTGGCCAATTTGTCCGACTAGTGCTTTTACCGGTAATTATGTGACAGATAATTATTATTATTGTTACAATTATTTTAAAATTTTTATACTGTAGGGGAAGGTGTGATGGATGCTTTTTGTTTATTGGCACAATTAATTCATCGACGTCGATGGCAACAACAATAAGTAGGAGTGTGAATGTTGACGCTGTAATCTATATAATTTACACTTACTATTTCAAACTTTTCATTCATCTCAATCGAGAAAATTATTATTATTATTATTATTATATTACAATTTTTCCTCTATGAATAGAGTAAAATATTTCATCATTATCCGTATATGCAAGAAATTGAATTACATATGATAAAAATCTAAATTCAAGTCAAATTACGTATATCCTTATTTATCCAAGATGAATACTTTTATAATTGTACAAAAAAATCTGGTGTCAATCATACGAAAAAAGATGAATGTTATCTATTATTTCTTCTCTTTTTTACGAACGTAATTGTCATTTCTACTACAATGGCGGTGCACAACAAAACTTTTTTGAACGAGATAGCCATAAATAATTTTCGCCATCATTGAGATCTATAAACAAAAACAAAATAGTATATAATATGATAATAATATATTTTTTAATGAAAATACTATGTATACCATTATCGATCATATCTGGTGGTTGACTATAATAATCATACAATTGACCATTAAAATTATCAACAGATGGCCGACTTAATCGTCCCTAGAAATGGAAGATAGCAACAAATGATAAAATAGAACGCTCAAAAATCTTTTGAATTATAGTTCTTGTAATAATAATACATATCGATTGACTGTTTTTCTAGCGCATGAATAAACAGATATCGGAGTGTATTTGAATGTGTTTACAGAAAACAAAAACTGAGAGACGATCAGTTGTATGTAAATCCATTAAATATGTTAATTAGCAAAGTGAATGTTTGTCAATCAAGTCTTGAAATTACTTTTTCTCTCTTCTTCTTCTTAACCCTTAACAACTGTTTGGGGATCCAACCAGACCCACTTGGCACTTTTTTGCTTCCTACCGCGCCAGTATTCTCTTTTTCGATTTGATGACTTTCCTAATCGCCAGTCGTCTGTTCATGCACAAGAGCTATATCAAGTTTTGTGAATAAGTCTTAGCGGCTAAAAATTAAAGTGTGTGTCCACACGGCTCCTCTAACAGCCATGGCGTTATACTCATGATTTTTAGCTTTCTTGAAGCCGCTTTCTGTCATCTCCACAGTTTATTTTCGAAACAGATACGTTAGTTTACCATCGCTAGCGATGATTTTTTAATCGAAACGCCTCTATCATCGCTTCTTTAAGTAGCCATCTTCCTTGTCTCTTTTTTTTGAAAAGTAAACTGGTTCTCAAGACCTAAAAGAGTTCATCAAGCGTGCAAATTCTAAAACTTTTCTGATTTTATAGAGAAATTACGACACCTAAACAAAATCTACAAAGAATTTGGGAGTGGCAACATTCAACGAGGAAATGAATGAAAAAAAAATGTGCAAGAGCAACCACAAGAGTTCACTCATGAAACTAGCTTCATTGTATTTCTTTCATCCAAAACATATAGACGAAAAGAATTTTCTACCTACGAAAGAGAAACTAAGTAATTGTATCTGTCGGCATGTGTGCCCACATTTGCCGGCATATGCTGGCCAGCCAGGTGAATGATTTTTCCAAGTATATTTTATCCTTGTATTAGAAAACCTTCCTCAAAAAATGATTTCTAAATCACATATGTCTGCATATGACTGCACCCGTATCAACATATTCACGACTAGAGGGAGCATGATGAAGACCATCGATCCATACATGAAAATTTTGAATTAAGTGGAAAAAACTCAAACTTATTCTATACATTCTCCTGTGGATCCAACTGGATCCCTAAACAGCTATGAAGTTAAAAAGTCAAGAGTCGTCAAGAGTTAATCGAATGCGGGAACATTTGATTAAGATAACTGAGCTGACAAATCAATAAATAATCTTAGAGTATCAATCATATTTTATCCCGTCATAATTATATTGTATGAAATTATTATTCAAGGTTAAAATCAAAATTTTAAATTTAATAATAATCTCATCTTACACATAAGTCAAATCAACTAAGTATTCTTTCACATTAGAAGATTATCTCTCAATAGAAGATAAGATGATTTTCTATTTTGAGATAGACATGCAAAAGAATATTGTCTTCAAATTTGAAGATTTTCTAGAAAAACTTACCCATTTTTGTTTGTTCATTGACGGATATGTGTGAACGAGACAAATGTACAATGCAACGATTATAATTACTCTGAACCACCAAGCGTTCATTATTATAACTATGTTTAATCTAATGAGATGTTAAAGCTAAAAAGGATATGTGTGTGTATGTATAGTCAACTATTCAAATGGAAATGATTTATTCTTTTAAAAAAAAAAAGAAAGAAAGAGATACAATATGTTTGAATCGTTTAGTTAGATTCGAAAGAAAATCATATTAATGTTCTCGTTTTCTTTTTCTCTGGTTATTCATTCAATAACACTTCTGTTTAATAAACAAACGCAGTTAAGTAGGATTTTTTTATCGGAGACAAAGATGCTGTGCTCGTGACGGAACAGAAGATCAAAGAAATTTCATCATTAACAAACATGAAAACTAAACAATTTAAACGATATCGAATTCCGTCAATTTACCTTCTCGATTATTCTTTAATGTTTGAGTATTTTTTCTATTGTACCAATTTAACAAATGAATTCGACTAGAGAATACAATATATTTCATCGTCTGTCCCGTGACGATATCAGAAGTAGGAGAAAAGAATATGTCAAATTATTCTCTTTTTAGTTTTTTCTTTTTTTCTTTGTTTCCTATATCATTATTTATCATACAATAAAATTGAAGTTTCCTTTCAAATGGTTTACATTGAACAATAGAGAATAAAAGTAAAAAACAAATTTTTTTCAAGAAACAAACCCCGAAGGACGAACAATAATACAGTTGACCATTTTTCACACCTGAGTACGAATAAGAAAATCTGTTGTATCATTGTATCATTATATAATTTTGTTATTTATAATTAGTGATGATTGCGAATATTATCAGCCGACTTTCATTCAACTCGATGCTTTTCTGGATGTTTTAGCAGATATTCGTGTGAGAAATTGTTCTGTTTCATAGTTATAATTCTTTAATTGATTAATGTATGATCGATACTCCTGATTATATGTACAATTGTCTTGGAATAAAGAGAGAATTGCAAATATTTTAAAAGTGTTTAGTGTACTGTTACTACTAGCACCGTATGTTCACTTATCCTACAGATGAACGACATAAAATAAAATTAAGATTTGATTCACAATGGGCTCTTGGTAAAATGTATGCTAGAATCACCCATCGCCAATAGGGCACAGTAGGTAATGACTTTTACAACGCTTGGTTCATACTCATCTTTTTTTCCAAAACGTCATCGTAACAGTGGTCACAAGAAATTTTTCGCAAAAATGCTTACGTAATTTTTTTCGGAAATAAAATATATTTCAGAGGTATTAGTGCACGATCATCATTCGTAGCTAAGTGTTTAGACGACCGGGAAAATAATTAGTACATCTGAAATTAGCGAAAAAATTCAACAAGGACATTTTTTAAGGCAAAAATTGATAAAGAATTTTTTCTAAATAGTCACGGTAATGATTATGCACATTTCTAAATACAAGCCATATTACAATAGCGAGGTGTACTTAAGGATATTCCAACCCATGTTGGGCTCTTTGTAGATAACCGCCGAAGTTAAAAATAAAATGATTAATATTTAATATTTTTAGGATGGATTAGAAACTCATTTCTGCAGTTTTTTCTTTCCTGTTTCAACCCTCTAGTTCTTGCCACTAATTTGCATTGCCTCATATCATCACTCCATGAACAATTCATTTGATTGAGCTGGAATTTTTATCACAGACACTGGAGACGATAAGTCAGATGTATTTTTGGAAATTTTCTTAAAACTCTTTTCTTCGCAACTGGTTACAAAAATATTAAAAACCTCTAAAGCAATGTGAGTTCGACGCGAATGATACATCATCATCTGTTAACGTTTCTTCTAAATCAGCAATTAACACGTTTTCTATAAAAAGAACTTTTGTCTAATTTGTTTTTCTGTATCTATAGGAAAGAAGTTTAACGATTTTATGATGATTTTGTAATAGTTATAATTAGAAAAATAAAAATAAAATAAACAAAACAAGATTATAACTAACTTATAAAGAAAATAACAAATGAAAATTAAAAAATTGAAATATCCAGTGCTCAACAAAAGCGCACGATTCTGCATTTTTCTGCTCACCCTAATTTTGTTCTTCTTGATCAATTTGTAATCAAAATAGTATGATAATGTCCATCTGAATGACATCTACCCAAATAAGACTTTGTAAAAGTTTAAAGATATCAGTAAAGATGAAACGAAAAAAAATTATTTTTTTAGTTAGTTGAAAAGGTATACTTGAAGTCTACAAAACGGGGCATCGTAAGATTTAATCTTATCATAAAAAAATTAATTTTAACTCCTGCATTATTTTCAGTATAAAAACAATTGTTAAATGTAGATTCGAATTGTAGAAAGATGGTTAATAAGATAATTTTGAGATGTCAATAGTTTCATGATGTGTACTGATATAAGATTGTGAAAAACTCCATTTTAATGTCTCATTTGGATAGATGATACTCGAATAGACATGTTCATACTATTTCAATTACAAATTTATCAAGAAAAAAACAACATGAAATAAGAGCAGCAAAATACAGAATCATGTCGTTATAACAAATAATAGAAAAATAAAGACTATGTATACTATAAGATTTGAAAACACATGAATAAACATAATAATTCGAAACAAACGACACGTATTATAAATATTACTGATATATTACATTTGCAATTGAGATCAGATTTAACTACGATAGTTTACAACAAAGATAAACTAATTATAAGAGTAAATCAAGATGAGTTAATATGTTACCTTTTCTTTGTTTGAATTTTTTAGAACAACTTTTCTTTGATTGTCTAGAAGTTACTAAAATAAACAAAGAAATATTTGATAAGGAAAAAGAAAGGAAATTTTCACTTACAAGAATGAATTAATATGGCACTATCATCGCGTAGATCACTGAGTAATGAAGAAATACTTGGTGATCGACTGATATTTGAAGTACTCAATTCAGAACATACATGACTAACTGATAGATCGAATATACTGTCTTTATTTTGATAATATTCTAAATACAAATGCTTCATATAAATCTTATATCATTCATGTTTTTTCTTACCATTTAATCTATGAGACCAGTCGGAACGTTGTATTTGTTCTAAGGCATGGATTAAATAACTTAATGTGTTATCAGATAGTCTTAAAATATCGAATAAAATTTCTAATACTTCTATTGAACTTTCAATTGATACATTATCACGTAGACGTCGTGGAATAATGTCACCTAATATAAAATAGAATTTTCGTCTATCCAAATCAGATAAGTCCTCAACCATTTTCAAAAGTATTCCTCGAAATTCAAATTCAGCCATGAAATTTGTGAGATAATTTTTTATACGTCTAATTTCTCTATTTCGAGTAGCCTTCTGTTTTTGGTAAATCTGCAGTGTGAAAAATAAGTTCAAGTCATATGTCTTACTCTCCGTTCACAAAAATCTATAAAAATAAGTTTTCTCAGCATTTGGTCTAGAAGTTAATGAGAAATAAAGTTTCGTAAAAAATGATCGAAAATCTTCAAATGTTTTTGTCTCGTTCGAAAGAATACAAAAAACTTGTGATCATCTGATTGAATCGAATGACACAGTTACTGATTTCTTCAACACGTTTGTGTTACTTATTTAAATATAAACTATTGACTTAGACAAATTCATTTTTATAGTATGATCTGTTAATAAAAAAGTGTCACTATTGATTAAACAAATCCATAATTAGATCCATCTTTCAACTGAGAAACTCATTTTTAAAGAGATTCTAAAACGCATTCTTTTTGTTTTTCTCCTCAAATCACTTCTAAAACTGTCAGAATTTTGTGTCATGTGTGTGTTAATATATAGAAAGATTAAACATTTACTGGTTTGGACAATTTTATTAGAAAGAATGTAACAGTATTTATTTTCAAACAGTATTTATTTTAAATTGAGTGTTGTTCATTTTGTGTACATATAATTTTGGATTAACCGACGTTTGAGCGCCCGACATTTGAGCGCCGACACTTGAGCGACCCCGACATTTGACCGACCGACACTTGACCGACCGCAAAAAGTCATACCTGGCAAAAAGTCATATTGAAAAGTGTCTAATGTCGGAGTCGCTCAAACGTCGGTCGCTCAAGTGTCGGGATCGCTCAAATG